AGCCGGAATTAAACCACGACATTCACCTATAATGAAACCCTGCGGACCTACCCGCAGTGTTCATCACATGCCTTGCCACTTTTACATCCTGCAGTATGGTAAGGGATCACTTATATGCAGAAGGAGACAACTCCAGTTCCAGCTGACCACTGGTCTGTAAGGACCCACAGATACAACCGTCAAGAATAAAACAACTGAGAAGAAAAACCTGAGCAAAGGATTTCAAATGCCATCTGTTAATCTCCCACACCCCAGACAAATTAACTGCCTTCTTTGTCTTTGTTTTTCCTGTCTGCCATGGGGGGTTAAAAATAGATGATTAAAATACTTCACTCCTTATTTAAACAGTAGAATTCAGGTCAACTTGTCCTGAAGGGCTGTAACATTAACAGGTCTAATGAGCACAACACAAAACTGTAGTGACAGTTTCCTGCTCTCAGAGTTACAAGTTCCAAACCAAGTGAACACAGTGAAGGAGTAAGATAAAGGAGAATTCTAGGACACTGGCACCGTAAGTATTTCTCATCACTGCAGGTTGACAGGAGATGAACACAACAGTGCCAGGTCCATATGTTACGTCAGTTGTGGTCTATATTCATCTACAATGCCAACCTGAACAGAGGGAGGGTTGAATTAAACTAAATGCAGTCCTTGGCCCAGTAGCCAGCATCTGAGGCAGCAACATCATCATGAACACATCTGCATAGCAGAGTTTGGCATTCACAATATACGATCCCAGATTTACATAGAAAGTAGCTATAGCAACTGGAGGGCAGTCTGCAAGATCTCAGACATCTGGTTGCATCTTCCAGAGCTTACTACAAAGAGGAACCAAAATCCTTAGGAACAATTATAAAATGAGACATGCAACTCTCTTCTTTCCCTGAATATTCTCACAGAAAAACTAGCAATCCTACCAAATGAGTTTTCAGAAGTTATTTACCACACTTGCCAGGAACTTGCCTGAGTTCAAGTTGTCAGTATTTGTCCTTACAGAAGTGGCTTAGACAGACAAGGCTTTTCTGAACTAATTTTAAGGTATGAAGGCTTGCAAATGGCCTATTAAAAGACTTCCTATGACTTCCTCTTTTTTTTCCTTTTTAATTTTAAAAGATTTCACATATAGCTAAAAGAAGTAGAAGGGGGAAAATAAAAAATAGTCCTATAGCTACTGCTTTTGCCTTTCCTCTTATATGAGTGTTATACTCTTACAACCCTCCATTCTGGCTTTTTCTAATTTAAGCCTTAAACTTGCAACAAGCTCCCCATGGAGGTCAGTCCTGTGGAAGACCGTGGGGTTGTACACACATGAAACAGGTTGTGCAACAGGACCTTGTAGTGAGACAGTGACTTGTTCTGCGTGTGTGCCATGCCCAGCACAACCAGGTCCCAACATTGCTCTCCTCCTTGACATGGGAACAGTATAAATAGACTAAGCCTAACTCAACACAGTGAGGGTGAAGCGATGCAGTTATACAGGCAGAGGTGGCAACCACAGAGATAACAGCTACAAGGGAGAGCAGAGAGAACCGGCATTACCTGCTGTGCCTGCTGCAGGAGCTCCATTCGCTCATGCAAGATCTGGCTGTCAAACTCACGGCTCTGCCTCAGGATCTGCCGCCGCACCTTCTCCACTGCAGCTCGCAAATCCTCCCGCTGCGCTTCCGTCAGCGACTCACTTGCCCGCCTTCCTGGATCCTGCTGCAGGGCATTATACAGCGTGGCTTCCAGCTCCTGGATTTTCTAATGCAACCCAAATCACATACAGACAGGATGCCATTTGAATCCAGCAAGCAAACAACACACCAACAGCTAGAGGAGAAGGCTAGCAAGCAAAGCCTTAGGCAGGAGGGAAGGATGGACACAGACAGGTAGACAGAAAGCGGCAGTCGTGAGCAGCGAGGAGCATTCCACACAGAGTGCGCGTAGCCTCCTGGCACTGATTCACACCCAGGCAATGCTTCCATTCTAGTAAACAACTGAGTTTTTCTATTTAAGAAAGATTCAGATAATATGTTTGCATTCAATATGTGATAAAACACCAATCCCTGATGCTGAATGATACAAAATTAATGTAAATTAACAAATTCCCTTCAACTGCAATGCAATTGTTAAGCCATCCTATAAAATAAAAAGTCCACAGGGAGAACTGAGAACAACCCAAATTTTACTGTCTCACTCTCTCTGGCCCTACTGTCATCCATTGCTCGAATGTCACTGGCTTAGTTCCAAGTTGCCATAAGCAATGAAGACAGGAACACTTGTACACACTAATCCCACATCAGTCTCTTGCCATTTGCCAGATTCCTAACCAGATCTCATGCACTGACCAAAACTGCAGTACTTTGTGACACAAAGCGCAGGAGAATTTTACATTTGCAGGAAGAACTGTATTCCCAAGAGTAAAGAACAAAAGGAATCATGGCAGTGCTTCCTGATTGCTGAAGTTAGTATGATCCTATTAAAAAACCAGCATCCAGTCTGACAACATTTGGATCAAGAGCATCTGACAACATCCCTTTAGCCCTCATAACACCTTTGTGAGGTAGGTAATTCTATCCATATTAGTGATGCATAAACAGCTGCACAGAGAGGTTAAATGGCTTGCCCAAGGTCACAATGCTAGAAATAGACCCTGCCTGCTTTTACCTCTTACCTGCTCTGAGCACAAGGCCTCAATTCATTTCTGAACACATTTTCCCCGTAAGAAATATTTAAAATTTATAAAAAATTCTTCAGGACATTACATTTTGATTTCTTGACATCTCACTGCCAACGAAATTGGGTGTGCAGTTTTACCAATTCCTGGATAATTCCCAGTTGTTGCTTAGCCTGTGAGAAGGCAAGGTTGCAGCTTCTCTTTTGAAAACAAGGAAAAGTAAGGTTGGATAGGACAGTACGGGAAGGAATCATGTAGGAAGAACAAGCATTCACAGCTTGGGATAGGTTAGCATCAGTGATATTCACAAATGCTTAGGAAAAAGCGAAATTGGCAATGTTCTAGAGCAGTTTCTGGTGTTTTACCGGTGATCATTTTGTTCACACATAGACCAGCTCTTCCCATTCCAGATGTACTAACAAGATGTTCACATATATTAGAATAAAAAAATGCACTTCAAAGACATTAGAATTCTAAATGCTATAATCCATTTCCTAAGTATCCATTTATGTAGTATTTGATTTCCTAGTCTGGCAGAAAAATAAATCAATTAAAAAGGAACCCTCTCTATAATTAAAAGGGAAAGAAAAAAAAAAACCAAACCAAACCAAACCAAAAAAACCCAAACCACCAAACCCTGTATTTTATCAAACATGAAAATTTAATGACTGATCTTTTCCTACCATGTATGCCTGGTCCAGAGCTTGCTTCCTGTAGTCGAGTTCTTCCTCTAAATAACCCTTCTGTTTACTGAACAGGTCCTGAGCAATAATAAAAACAATGGAGTGTTTGTTCTTTATCCTAATTCATGAAGAATCATAAATGTCATCATTTTAATGTGAGCTTTCCACTTGAAAGCAAAGAAAAATCTATAGCAAATGACCACATTCATCCTAAGGATATTTGGAGTATCAAATTTAAAATATTAGCACTTAAAATGTGTCTCATATTAACGAGTTGTACCTCTAAAGTATAGACCTCTACACCAGTGTACAAACCTGCCTTGACCTGACAGAAGTACACACAAAGGCTGAAAGGTGAATGGGAACTTGCATGCATGTGGTCCAACAGTCATTGCTTGCCCAGAGTCGGGGGAGGAAAGAGAAACATGAGTGAGGACACTCTACGGCTCTTCTGAAAATATCCAGTGTGCACCCTTAAGGAAATCATGGAGAAACCATAATCTGTGCTGTCTAGCCTGTTCTTCCAGGCAGGAAGCCAAAACATGCAGGGCTCTAGCTGGGTTCTGCAGCAACATTCCCTGAGGCATTACTGCAGCAGAAGTAAAAGCTCAGTTCTCAACCTGTAAAAATAGGAAGCCAATTTGAAATGGGTGAAGTGATACCCAGAGAGGTTAAGTGACTTCAGCTGAAGAAGTTTTCAACATACCTAGGGTTCATAGGGATTTTTTGCTTTTATTTTTAAAATCAAACTCACCAACTTTCACAGTTTTATATGTATATATGTGTGTGTATATATATACAAATCACAGGCTGGGGTTTCAGTGGAGCTCAGTCTGATGTTGCAAGAAAGTTGTGGAGATCTGAATGGTTGATTAGGCAAGCAAGATCTGAGTGCTGACCGTGCTCTCACAAAATATGCCTTTCAAGTGTTTTGGATAATTGTACATAGAACAGAAAATAATTACTTGATTTTATTAGCTTTTCTTTCAAGGCAGGTTTACATGCTCAGAAAAATTAGTAGTAGTCCAGAAAGCCAAGAAGCCCTTTGATTGAATTTAATATGTTGAATAGAAGAAAGAATGATGGGAAAAACTCTTGCATTTCCCATCATATAGAATAAATGCCAAATTAAATTCATAGGGTTCTTAAGATGATTGACTGTAGCTTTTATTAACAGCAAAAAAAAAGAAAAATCAAATATTGCTGGTGTGGTTACCTTTATTGGATATGGAATGAAAGTAACCTATTTGCCAGATTTTACCTTCAGACACATTATGTGGACTTTCAACAGTTTTTCTGTCAGCTGTCAGTGTAGCAACGGCACTGAATTTGCCTAGGCTTGAACCTTGATAATAAATTCTCACTCCAAATATCTGGTTTAAAACAAATCCATTCTGATCAGCAAATTAATGCTTGGGAGTGGCTCAGAGCATAAATTGACTACAGATGACCTCCCGGTTGTTAATAACACCTCATAATTGACAACAGCAGCAACATACAAGACCAATATTAGAGGACTCAGAGGAATAAATTGCTATTTATTCTCTGTATGAGAACAATATTGAATAATGAATAATATCTATTATTAATTTTATTTGTAAAATTGGAGTTCTTTTAAATACCTATGAAATAATATTAAAAGTAGAACTAAAGTTTAAGTCAATTTTGATCCTGGGGCTGGAATTCAGTTACCCACAGATGGGCATCTATTGCTATTATAGTCATTTTAGGGTATGCTACTTCAGCTGCTGATCCAGAAGAGCATGGGTCTCCAACAGGTCCTGTAGAACATACTTCTCAGCCACTTGTGAACATCACCAGAACTCTGAAGAATGTAATATGGCATTAGACACCATGTTTATAATACTTTGACTACCCAGGTTTCATTATTTTCTTAAGTGGATTACAGCAGCTACATGTCTGCTGTACAAGATGCAATACCACCGTGCACTGAGTGACATGTAGGAAAGTACAGGCCTGCTCCTCACGTGCTGATAAGTGTCTGACACCAGAGAAGTAGACTGACTTGCTCAGGACTATAGAGAGGATCAGAGACTCTACCAAGAGATCCTAGAATAGTAATACAGCTGCCCCAGTCATGATGCTTCTCCAAAAGCTATTGTAAAAGCTGGCTACAAAAAGCAAGACGGAAGAAAACAGGAATAGTACCTCAAACTCTTAACTCAGGTTCCAAAGACAACTAAAACCGTGCTCAGCTCTTCTGAAAGTGTCATGTCAGAATGTTATTTCTAAACTCATTTCACAATTGAGTCAATCATTGGCATGGCAGACTCTCAGATTGCTATGCTATATGAAAACATCACAGATACTAAGTGGGAAGATAACACACCAAGTTAGAAACCATTGTTTTCCAATTCCTTTGATAAAAGAATCTAGTATTTGTGGGCACCTTCCCTCTTCAAAACCTTTGTATTTTTCCATAATAAGAGTTAAAGAAATTCTGGATGTAGAAACATTCATACCTGTGTTAAAGTACAACCAGTGTGATAAGCTACCCTCAACTGAGAACACAGTATGAGCACTTTTGGTGATTGTGGCCCAAATACACACTTCCTCAGTGGCCCTGGGCAAATCACTTAACCTCCCTGTCTCCGTTTCCCACTCTTTAAGATGATTTTAATGCTGATTACTTATCTACCTGTAAAAGGTGTACCGAGGATTAATCAGTATTTGTAAAGCCATTCGAAGATGAGAAGCACAGCATGCATGGTAAACCAATAAAACCAAACACTCATTCCAAAACATTTTGTTTAACATATGGAAAAATAAGGTCAGTATGGCACTGAATATGTTATACAAGACAGAACTGCTTTTCAGAAAACATTCTGTCTTTCAACATTAAGACCTTGGGGCAAGAAAGGTTATCTGGAGTAAGAGGTCTTTACAACTTGTCCAGAAGCTGAATACTAGAGATCACAGGAATATCCTTGACAATTCTAATAACATGACCCCAAGATTAAAAAGATGATGCTGTTGCCAGACAAATTAATACACAGAGAAAGCACAAAGACAATTTCACATTGTTTGGTTAATAAGCTCTGTAAAATTATGCCTTCATGTCCTAATTTGTATATATTTGTTATTATAGTTTTGACAGTTTCCTCCCACCCCAAAGAATCCAAGCAGTAAATTGTTCTAGAAACCTCTTCCCTATTTTACCATGAAGCAATCTCTGTTAAGCAGAGACAGGCAGCAAATCTACCTGTGATGAGGTTTATACACATTCCCTTGAGATGAGTTTTACCTACATGAACTATATTTTTAGTTATTACTCACCTTTTCGTTCTCCAAGTCTAACATCTTCTGTGTCAGTGCAGCTTCTGTCCCCTCTATCTGTTTTAACCACTACATGAACATAGCAGTGTGAAGAGGAAAAAAAAAAAAAAAGATGGAGCTTTTGAAAGATTTGCACCAAACATTTTGCAGGTTTGTTTCCAACAGTTCCAAGGATATGAGGATATGTTCCCCCCTCAACTGTGCACTTTGAAGTTACACATGGATAAAGAGGTTATGAAAACATAGGCAGAATGAAGGACGGTAGAAACGTAATAAAGACTAACAAGTAGAGGCTGTTTTCCTACAAGAAATTTAAGTCTGTCTCCCCCCCTCCAGTAAAGTTCAAGATACGAAGTAGACTTGGGTGAAGAATGCAAAATTAACCTCTTTTCCCACTTGATGTACCTAATGTTTGTTGGGCTGATTTTCAAACTCATCATATGATTTTGGGGCACCAGTCCTGTATTTTTCCAGATGCATTGTTCCAAATTTTTACACAATTTAAACAAAAGAGAAGGTGTCAGACTTGATCCTTTATTTTGCACAGTTTGCGGCACCCTTTGTGGGAAGAGGCTCACTTCTAAAACATCGGTAATGTAGAAGGAACAATAAAATGGGCAGACAGATGGAAGTTCCTTGGTTGCTACCACGAATGCCTTACCATTCTGGTGACAAACAGAACAATCAGCATTAAGAAGAATGACTATTGAATTCCAAAGGTAAAATTACATACTGTAATAGCTAAATGAATGGAGAGAAGGTCCTTGCTTCATTAGTAACCCTCCCCAGAATTATATTAATATTCACCAATTAAATTTATTGGAATGGATGTTAATGCTCAGCTCTGAGTTGATTTATTTCATTTCCTTATTGGTCTACAATAAGGATCAATTAATAGCTTACAGACAGTATAGTTTAGCCTAATGCTTCTTTTTGTAACACTAGCTCCTATTAAGACCAACCGTACCTTTGCCACTGATAATTATCACTTTCCTCAAATGCTTTGCCAACTAACACTTTATTACTATTTACTAATACTTTTGGTAAACATTTTTTAAATTCAGGGTTTGGGTGAGTTCACTGGGGCTCAGACTCAAAGGAATTAATGACATACCCATTTTTTCAAAGATTTAGATTGGAAATCTGCAAACATAAGTTTACCAATAAGCAAAAGGTGAAATCATCAATTCATCCTTTTGGACCTTTGGCTATTTAAGAGGCTGGTGGATAAAAATTGAAACTTGCTTTATCTACTTATTAGGTTTAACTTTGTACAGAGCTGAAAATAGTGAACAGGAACATTGTATTCCCCAGTGATTCTATTCTCATCATCTTTATTTTCTTCATTTTAAAGGTGACGGACTGAAGATATTCCTAAGGAAAGCCTCACCACTGATAATGGATTCAGCAAGACAGTGAGCATTCTGAACAGTTGAAATCAATAGAAACAGGAAGTCTCTCACAGCTACCCTCAATATTTGCAAATTAAGGGTTATTTGCAAAAATTAGAGGTCTAATTTTTTGAACGTATGAATCATCTACCAAACTAAATACTGATTCTGATCTTCCTATGTCTGTAAGCCCTTCTGGAACCAAGGGGTACAGAAGAGACAAACATTTATCACTCATAATCAGTTGTGGCATTCAAAATAGGCTTCTGGAATTGTGCCAGCAGAATACAAAATCTTTCCCTGCCTGGCAGGTTGATTTCCAAAAGTTCACTTCTAGTGGCTAAGTACGATAGACTTGATCTAAATAAACACTATATGTGATTAATTAGCACATGTGAATTTAACCAGCACAACATCTCTGCCAGTAGTACCATATCTTTACCAAAAAATGCCATTTTAAGATGATTATATATGAGTGTTTCTTGTAATTAAAGAACTATAGGAAGGTACATAGGAAGTTGTCTGTCCCTTACTCAGAGGGACATCTGAGATGGTTACATTACACAGGAAAAGGCAGTGGAGTTACTTTAAATTTCCTTTAATCTAAATTGACTATCTGCACATAATAGTGCCTTCTATTATCAGTCATTTGATTAGCCTGTACCTCAAATGCGCACCATGTAAAAGAGGAACAGATTTCATGCTTCTCAGACCACCCTCTTGATTCAATTTGCTGTCAGCTTGTACTTACTAGGTTACTGTGAGGCACTTCATTAAAATGATGCAAGATGGATAGGGTGCATAGATAACATGAACTATTTTCATCTCATTATTTAAATGCAGTCTATTTATCTATTGAAGATAAAACTAAAATCTCCATCTTTCTGATGGAGTGTTCAATTTCTGTAATAACCAGATTACATGATAAAGCCACACCAAATAAAATATAGACCAACTTTAGCATTAGTAAATAAATAAGGTCTCCATTTTAGTTGTATGTTGCTATTCTTTTAAGGAATTATTTCAGCTGACAAAAAACTTCTAATCCCTTATTGCTGACATCACTTGCTAATGGAAATAATTTATAATTAACAAAGTGTATGTTCTATCCTGCACCATCTTGTCACAAATTGAATAAGCTCACTAATTCTAGTGGCACATTTTGCACAAGCACTAATTTACTTGAGCAATAACAACCTAATACAGTCCCTAATGTTTGGCTGGTTTTACACTCTTAGACTTGCATACTGGGACTCTTCCACTTTCCTTATTAGATATAAAGGGCTATGATCATCCCCTCCTCTTTTTAATGCTATGATGTAATGAAAAGCATAGGGGTTGTAGTGCTTTTCCACACTTTTATTTTGCTTATAGCAATTACTCAAATCAATGAGTATTAAATTACCTGATTTAGATTATCTACATTAAAATATTTACATAAGTAATTATTAAAATTATATCAATTAAACCAATTATTTTAAAATTCTCAAATTTTAAGTTATGATTCTGAATTTCAAAAAACATATGGGCAAGATTTAATAGAAAGCTATGAAAAAGACAGACAAAGCTTATTCAGAGACAAAGGCAAATCCTTCAGAGTTCTAAACGTCACCATTATTTATATACAGATTATATTCTCTCTGTAATTGGAAGAGTAAAGGACTGGTCATGCAGAACTGAGTGACCTGACTGATAACCTATCTTGTGCAATCTACTTTTTCACAATCTATGCCCAGTAATTTATGGAGGAAAGGACCCCAAACAATTCTGAGCTTTTTCAGTCATACAAATAGCCATACCCAAAATGGACCATGGTGGTACGACGTACAAAGGACTTCACAGCACCCTGTACCCAAACATGTGAGCACACTGACACTTCTGAGACTGAAGTCTCTTTTGTTAATTGCTTTTTAGTACTTTAAGGGAATATCTCCAAAACTTGTGTTTACTTTTAAATTGGGGTTATTTTTTAAGTTTGTTTTTACCTAAAGACATCACAATCCCTATAAAGTCATGTAAGGATGTACACATGCTGCAATCCAGATACTTCAGCAGAAAAGCCATGCTTCCCTAGCAAAATCATGTGATATCTTAAAAGACATGGTCAGTCTCTAGGCAGAGAAAAAATCTTTACTGAATTCTACCTTTTCACAGAGGGAAAGCACTGTCCCAGCTTGGATTATTGCAACCTGTTCTTCATTTCTCAAATTCTAAAATACAAAAAGATGCATTTCAAATTGGATTGGAAATCCATTCTTCAACACAAGCAATAAATTTTAACTTTACTTAGAACAAATCAGCTATAACAAATCAGCTATAACATTTAGCATTTTATAAACATGCCCAGAAAGGATCCAATGATTGAAACTATTAAAAGCTAAAATTATGGGTACTTAGTCTCCACTCTATTTCAGTACACCACTCCCACAACACTTCTGCAGGTGTTCATTATTCAATAAAAATTAAGTGGTTTCGGTCAAGTATTTTGATTTTTTTTTGGTTGTTGTTTTTCTAGGCAGAAAAATGCCAGTTCACCGGACTATAAGCCCTGCAGCGAGTGAATTTCCCCTTCATGCACTTCAGAGCCAGACTTCCCATTAATGAAAGCAATGCAAAGAAAGACTAAGAACTGTAAAAATCTTCACATTACTTTCAACAGAAAACATAAATCTAGATCTTAAGACTAATATTATAAAGACCTCAAACTGTTAAAGCTACCTTTAAAGCGGAGTCAGCTACATGGATGTTTGTGCCCAAACCCCATGACCAAGATTTTTATACTGTATTTGGCAATACAAGGGAAACAAGAGAACTTGTTTTCTTGCCCCTTCTCCCAGCAAACTCACTCCTGGCAGAGGCATCCTTCACAGTAGCAAGTGCTACTATTACTACTCAAGAGAAAAAATAAAATCAGGAATAACTTGGTCTGGCTTTGACTTCCTTATTTTTCTCCAGTAACCTGTTTTATAACTTTTTCCTCTGCCCACTACAGTGCCTTTTTTTACAGAATCATAGAATAGTTTGAGTTGGAAGGGACCTTCAAAGGCCACCTAGTACAACCCCCTGTAATGAGCAAGGAAATCTTCAACTCAGTCAGGTTGCTCAGAGCTCAATCCAGCCTGACCTTGAATGTTTCCAGGAATGGAACATCTACCACCTCCCTGGGGAACCTGTTCCAGTGCTTTACCACCCCCGTCGTATAAAATTTCTACCTTATATCTAGTCTAAATCTACACTCTTTTAGTCACTCCTTCAGTTTAAAACCATTACCCCTTGTCTTATTGCAACAGGTTTCCATAAAAGGTTTTCATATCATTCAGCCAAGATCAAATCCTATTTTGAGAAAATACACATCAGTAGCATCTCTTTAACTGGAAGTTTATCTGTGTTTGTCAAAGTAGTACCTAACCATTCATATTGTTCATACAAATATAGACATATAGAAATCACTCTGCATTTTATTGAATATTATTTTCTGCTGTGGGGAAGAAATGCTTTAAAACCATAAAACTAAAGGTATATTTGAAATTTAAAATTTGTTACCCCGTTATCTCCAAGAATATCTAGTTTCTTCATAAGTTCAGATATATTCACGTCCTGGAAAAGATGTTCAACACTTATATTTTATATAGTAAGCAAGAAACAGTTTTTATAGGATACATTTTATGTATCTTTTATTCAGTCCTGCATGCAAAAAAGACGTGACATGTGAATAAGGGAAGCATTAGCTTTGTATCACAATTACAAAAATGTTATTGATACTTTCAGAGACAAAACCAAATGTCACTCTTTATTATCACAAGCAACCTGGATTTCTTTGTATGAGGGCAGAATGTTCCTGTACTATTCACTTTTACTATCTGCTGACGTATGCAGACGAAAGATAAATACCGATAAACAGGCTTAAAGGATTGTTTGCTTGGAGTGGAGCGTCAAGCCCATAAAGCTACAGAAGACAAAATGACAGAGAACATGAAAAAAATAATTGTGAAGAATTGTTGGGTGGTTTGTCTTTTATTTTCTCTGTTAAACAAAAGAGTGGAGTTTCAAACCAGCCTTACAGTGAAAGAAGGGAATATGCATCGTGGGCTGAACATGCTCCTCCAAACACTATCAGCTCATGATCTTTGTGACTAGAAAGCCATGTTTCTCTGCCAGTCAGCCCACAGATCCACAAAAAGCAGTGAACAGCCCATTCTTATTAAGGCCCAGTCACTGAAATCAAGAAAAACACTCCTCTGATACAAAACAAAACAAAAGAGGAGGAATAAATTCATACACCATCTGTATTTTACACAGTGACAGGGACCATTCCTAGGCTCCTGAGCTCTGTTTCTACTGTTGTTGAAAACATCCATGGAACTGTTTAACTTGTGTTAATTACATTCTCCAGAACTATCCCAAGTATGGTCCACAAGTTAACGTGGACCGGGGATCATGCCCTTCGACAGCTTGTATGCAGCCATGCTATTCAAAGGTAGGAAGGCTTGAGAACACGGGCAAGACCAGTATGTGTAAGTCCAAAATGCTTAACACACATGCATAAAGCAAGACACCTTGTTAAATGCTGACACCCTTAACTTCTCACATTCAGCACTTCTTAGTAAGAAGACATTTCACAGGGCTGTGTCGTGGCTCACTATTTTAATTTCTTACAGTACATAATGTGCTGTCTTGGATCTATGTGTTGTGCAACTGAATTGTGTGGGTAGTCAGGATGACCAATCTTTAAATTTTTTTAAAGCTAAATTAGCTATTACATATTATTTATTAGCTATGAGCAAATTACATAATACACCAGAATATTTTCTCATGACTCTGTACCTAACAGACTTTAGTGAGGAAGGAGGAATGTTCAATAAGAACTGAAAGATATCCTGAAGACCAGACAGATATGTGAGAAAGAATCTACAGATTAGTCCATCCTGCCTCCAAAATAGGAATAATATGTTCGAGTTGGTCTATCCTGAGAATGCTTCTCACTCTCTTCCCTCTCTCTCCAGACACTTCATCATTGTCTCCAAATGCTACATCAGCTATTAAACAGTGCACACCAATAATTTTAGGATGGTGTGAAGCTTAATATGCACTTGTGTTTGGATCGGTGTTAAATACAAAACTTTTGATTATGCTCAGCACTGATAATGTTGAATGTAAACTTCAACTGATCTAGTTACTGTAGCTGATCAATTGCACTAGTGAAGACTGGAATTCAGTAAGACATTCAAATTCTTGCACCTATTGAACCAGAAGTACTCATTCTAATTAATTTCCATGATGAATCATATAGGAAGGTTTAGAAACCAAACCAGATTTTGCATCATTCTAGAATCTAATTTGCTGCTGATGGCTAACAATTTCAAAAGACTCTGAAAACATAAGAAGTCAACAATTTCAGTATGCTCGTATTAGGTGACTTCCCCTGCTTCCAGCTAAGGGAACTGAAAGGCAAATTAAAAAAACCCCAAACAAACAACAAAAAAATAAAACAACCACCAAAAACCAAACACCTCTATTTAGGAATGCAACAGAAGATAATGGAAAAACTATAAATTCTAGATCCTGGTAAGCTGTACCTGCTACAGCTGACATGTAAATTAGAATAACATACAAGCTAAAAAGCAGGTCTGGGATCCCATGGAGGCTCCATTTGAAAGGCAATATGATGACTAATGACTCCCTGTGTTGTTTGGAAAATGACTACTGAACCAAACTTGTAGATAAGAAATCAGGTTTTAACTTTTTTAAATTTTATTTTAGACTAGCTCCCTACTAATATTCAGCCTACAATTTCAGTTTACTTCCATTACAGATAGTATTGTGCTTATTAAGGCATTGAATGCAAACAACTGTTTTATAAGACAGCTTGCAATTGTGTTTACAAATTACAAGTGCAAACATAAATTACTAGCGAATCCTATAGAGCATAACACACAGAGTTATTTTACTTCAGTTACTCATAGAAAGGTTGCTCTGGTCTGTTGTGCAACATGACTGACAACGGAAGTCTGAATTCAGTCAAGTGAACCAGCATGCAAATCAATTTGTACAGCTATCCTAATCTAGGGAGAACAGAAGGGGAAAGAGATTCCTCATAGCAGAAGCTAACTGAGATCCTGATGTTTATCTTGTGCTTGATCTAAAACGATAGATAGAGTCTCACCTATTTGAACAAATTTTGGGTCATGAACCTCATGCTTCAAGGCCCTGGCTTAGGCAAATAACTTAAGCACATTAATTCAGCAAACAGAATGCATGGATGTTTTACTAAATTGTGTTTAAAATAATAGGTGAATGTCCTATTTCTGACTGTAGAAAACATTTATCATCCAGAGCAGAGCTCCATAGAAAGCCTGACAATGAATTACATCAGCAAACACATTCTTCTCTGCAATGTTTTCACAGCAATACCTTAGACTAAATGTAAATGATCTTCATTGAACAGACTTCATTTTCATTGATGAGCTTCTGACAGATTACAAGATCATAATCTTATGAAAACCTTTCCCTAGTTAAAAATATCTTCTCTTACTTTTTTTTTTTTTTCAGATTTTCTTCCCTACAGGCAGATGGCAAAACATTTGTTTGGATATTGGATTGATCATTCTGAAAAAGCTCCTGGCCATCCAACAGTTACTAATGCTCAACATATACCTTTATTCCTTCATGCTGACAGAACAGTTGAAGTGCACTTCCATTGTTTTCAGGGAAGGTGGTAATATGAAGATTAAATGCCGGCGACCTTCGTTCTCTCTCCTGAGGAAAGATTTTGTTTAAAAACAACATGTGTGATTTTATTTAAACATTTCCCACCTGTACAAAACATGTACATTACAAAGGCAGATTCCTATTCAGATATATGATATTTCTTACTACTTTCTTTCCTACCATATTTGAAGGACTCTGACTTTATCTAAGCACAAAAATGGTGTTAGCTTCCAACTGATTCCATGAACACAATTTCTGAAAAGTAAACTAACACTCCTCAGATTCAGGAATGCTTGCACGCTGGGCAAATATCTGACTGGAGCCCTAAAAATTTTGCAGTTTTTTATGTTGGTTGTAACCTTATTTAACTATTACTTTCTTTCATGGAACAAAGAACAAGTTAGGAAGAAGAAACTGCAGGAAAGAAAATTTTAACTCCGTTATGAAAAAGTACTATCACTGAAGGTTTTCCTCAATAAAAACAGTGTATCTCTGCTCCCTGTTTATTCTACAGTTAACCTTTCTATTAGAGCAGGTAAAACCCCTCAGTCCTATTCACTGCAAAACCCAGAATGTTGGAATATGTTGAAAGGCAGCACTACTCTACACTTACAATGTTCTTCGTGCCAAAATTAAAATTTGTAAATTCCCATTTATCTAAAACTATAGTGTTTCTAGAACTTATCCAGCCCGTCTACTTGACTTTCATGCATTTCTTCAAAATATCAACCTATTATTTCTTCAGAAGGCAGAAATACAGTGAAACACTAAATAACCAATTTTACTTAAATTAAATTTTAACATGCTTGTGAAAATGTCTGGATTGAAGACTCTAGGAAACCAAGGCAGTGGGTCTAACTCGGAATTCTCTATGGTCATGGGAACACATGTGAGCAAAACCAGATTTCTTGTCCATATTACAAGGTGAGGCACCGGCAACAAGAGCTTCAGTTTCTGGCAGTATAATGAGAGCGTGCTACTGCAAATATGTTGGTTCCTATGACCGTCCATGCACTGCTCAATTTCCAAAATCACAAAAAGAGGTGCTTTATTTGACATGGCAAGCAGGCTGCATCAATTTACTTATGCAAGTTACAAGGCATAGCAACTGTTTGTCATTTACTAGCTTAAACCTAATTTGAAACTACTATGTTGAGGGAAAAAATCTCTGTACTCTATACATTTTCCACCCTCATAGGCTCTATTTTAAATAATTTTTGCATTAACAGTCTGGTTTTGAAATGGGCTTAAATAACCTAGCTGTTGCAATCCAAAACCAGAAGTTTAATTCTTGTTCCAATTTGGTTGCCATTTTAAAGTTTTTTAAAAATTATTTTATTGCATTCAACTCACCTGAATTTGCTTGCATTAAATTATAGACAAGTGGTTGTTTTCTACTCTAGCCTAATTTTCATCTGAAATAATTTTCTTGCTCTCAAAAAAATACTGTCATGATTGCCAGAAGCATTCATGATTTTACTAAAGCATTCACATTTTCAGTCACATTTATGTCTACATGCTTGCCTAATAAGGAAAAAAAAAATCTTTTCTTACAATCACACAAAAACACTTTCATTATTAACCTGTGAAACAAGTTCTTAGAGATTTGGCTTATGACAAAACTCAACACGTCACATTAAGTTATTTTTCATGTGATTCTTCCATGTGAAAAGGACATTAATTAAGAATGTATTGAAGCACTTTTACTTTTCCTAAGAAAATTTTTTTGATTGTTTTACTTATAAGAACACTTACACTTTACGAAGAAGTTTCTAGTGTAATGGCTAATTCAAATGCTAAATTGTTCAGTGTCTTATTTTATAGTTGCTTAATAAAACGTAAAGAGATATGTTAGCAAGCATTTTTGTTTTCCTGAACATCTACTGAAATTCTGATAACCCAAATTCATAATTTTGAATATAATGGGCTATGACATCAAAACATATGGTTGATAAAGGATTAAAAAAAGATTAAGAAATTTCAAAGACAAAAAGCAGAACATCCACGTAACAGGAAGACACAATATTTTCATCCTTATCAGAGAAGTCACACATGCCAAGAATTTTGGTGAAACGTGCTGGATGATGAAAATTATGGAGGTGTGACAATGACAGGTTTCTTGGAGAGTTTATTCTAATGTTGATAGGAATGTTAATGAACGTGGAAACTGAACAATATGGTATCAAGCAATACAACTGTGTGACAACTGTGCATCACACTTGAGTAGTTTAGTGTTAATAAACTCGACATTTACGAGGTGATGAGAACCACTGGTTTCTACAGTAACGACCAGCTAAATGTTCAAATCATTATTCATGAATAACTTAACAGTTATTTCATTTATGTAAAATACAGAATGTTTGCAACCAGCAACATACTACTATCACTTAAAGAAGTACTTGTGCTTCACCAGTTTAACTTTGACATTCCCAGAAGTGGGTTTTTTTTCCTTTTTCCATTGACTGATGTCAATTATTTCCAGTCCATGATAATTTTTATACCATCAGAAAATGGATTTCAGGTAAGAGACATTCTTTCAATGTGTTCTTTTAAGATCATTTTACTTCATATGAATACTACCAAACTGAAATCAATGTAATTAAAAGCAATCATACATTGATGTGATGGATGTGTCAGATCTTTAGTCAGATCACTGCATGCAAGATGTGAGAAGGTGTGTTAATCTAAACGATGTCAACCAAGGCTGTAGTATACATACCAAGTGATTTTACATGCAGGAAAGGAGCAGTTATGGAAATGAAACAAATAAAAAAGGCAAAATATTGCAAAACAAAATACTTTATTAGATGAAAAACAAACTATATGCAATATATATTAGCTATATTACATCTTTATAAACATTAGTGAGCACTCTCTCCAAAACATATTAAGGCAGTGGCATCAATTTCATTATCCCAAGATACAACATTTAAAAAATAGATACCTAAGTTATTTCCCTTAAACATGCCCCAGACATCAGTAATATTTACAGGAATTTCAGCTTGGGTTCAAACATAAATTCTGCTCCATTTGAGAGTTTGCAACAGAGAGAATCTCTTACTTCAAGCTCTAGCACTCTGAATTCTAACAGCTCATTCTGGTCTTTTGCATCTTGCATCTCGTTCTTCAGCTGATGCTCTTCTTGTTCCATTCTGTAAATCTGTGAGACAAACACAACACCATAACAACCCGTAAACAATGGAAAAGATACTGTACAGAATTACAGGCCAGGGGTTTAGACAAAACTAAATTCAGTTTCTGATTAGCTGTTGGGCCGTGTCTTGGAGATAAAGAAGGAATATCATATCAAAAAGTATATGTGAGAACTGTCAGCAGAAAATGGTCAATGACCTCTTAGAACAGTAATCTAGAAGTAGTATGAAAAGTGAGATGAATATTATATATAATTAAGCAATACAAGCCTTCTTTTAAAATCCATTGAATGAAACTGGATTACATTAACATTTGGGTAGACTATTCTCATTATCTTTGCATAACTAGACAGCTACTTTTTACTGTATATGAAAGACAATAATGGAGAGGTTTTAATGGCTACTTTTAAATTTTCCAGATTTGTGCTTTGGGGCACTCACAATGACAAAATAGAAATTAAAAATTGACTATTCATTATGCCAATTAATAATTTCGGTCTACTGTCTACCTTAACTGGGTGATCTTTCTATTTGTATGAAACTAAATAGAACTGTGACATCTGGCATAATGTACTATAATGCTTATAATACACATGTAGGTGTCTGAATAATTTAAGTCTGTGATAGCTACTTTTAGTCATTAATTTTTCTTTGGTTATCTCAGTCCCATTACATTAACATTGATCCACTAATTAGCAATAATTGTTCTTTGACCTCCTGAGTACTAGCTAACTTTCCCACTAAACATCAATGAAGAACAATAAGGATGAGCAGCTTTGAATATCACAGACAGTAAATGATTCAATAGTTCTAAATCAATTAATGTGTGAAAACAATTGTGAAAAATAGAAGGCTGAAAGGAGCAGGCAATTTTATTAGTGATCAGGACAACATTAATCTTTGTGTAATTGTTTGACAAAATAGAAGATTCACATTACGCTTAATATTTTAGATTATATTTTGTTGGACACTAGAAACCTCAGCCAGCTTAGGTTCTAGTTTTGGCTATACAACATGTAATTCCACAATAAAAAGCAGCTTACATTCCCAAAGAGTAAAAAAGGATATTTGTACTTTAATCAGTGACTTTTATCCAACTTTCTGTTTGAGGAGAGAAATAAAGCAATTTTTGTGTTGATATTCCAGTACTTAGTAAATTTATTTCCTTTCCCATTCCTTTTATGATAAAGGGCAACAATTGTGAAAATATTCCCAGATTCTGAACACATACCTTCTCTAGCAACTCCTGATTTGTTCTGATTAACAGCTGTTTTTCTTCTACCCATTTTGAATCCTATGAGGAAAAAGAGGATTAAATATTAAAATTATGTCTATTTTGTTAAACAAAACAAATATCCACAATATTTTGAATATTTCAGACATCACTGCACATTCAAATATAAATACTGTCACACAAAAAAATATAGCCTTCATAAATATTTCAAGGATAAATAGCATTTTAAACTACAGAGAAAATAAAAGCTTCTTTCTTTTCCTAAAGCTAAGTCTCTTGTTTCCAAACATGTTTCAGATAAGCACATACTTTAACATCTTTACATATAGCAATTGTGGGTGATGCAATTATATGATATTTTATGTCATTTTAAAAACATTTATTTACTCAGCTTAACTCTATCTTTCCATTGCACAGAGTTGGGAACTTTCTTGCAAAATCATTCCATTTTCAGTGGTGTAATGCAAATCCCAATGGAGAAAAGGAAAAAAAACCCATTTAATTACCCCAAATGAACGAAAATAAACTTCAGTTTTATGCAATTAACTGCCCTCTGTTAAGAGTGTGAGAATAAGGCTAACACAGTGTTTGTGGGAAGTAATTCAAGACTAGAGAGGAAGAAAATGGATACAAGATATCTTGTATGCTATTTGAAAACCATATTAGCATTTGGTCACTTGTTCCAAAGCTGATTCTTGTTTTTAGGTTTTTCCATGGCTTCAAAAGGCCTCATCAAAAACCCTTTAAAGATGTAACCTACAAAAACTCACTGTCAGCCATAGCTGGACATTGAGATTTAACGGATTATAACAGCCAAATTTTCTCTGTTCTCGCTGTAGAGAAAGGTATTTACACAACCTAGCTCATACTGCTCTAATAAGTTTAATAAAGCCATATCTAATGCTTAGTATACCATACTAACTCTAGATCAAATTATTTTCTAGATAAAAAGGACAACTTACTTAAAATCTGAGTGGTTTTAGTAAAGTATTAAAGTTGATACTTTCTTTGTCAGAAAGGTATTTGCATATTGATGCTGCTCAAGAAATCAGGGAAATGTTGAAAATAAAATCCAGCGTCTAGTTTAACATTTAAGTAGTTTTTTTACTAAGGTCAACGAATGAACAGAGTTGCACTCATGGACATAGAGTGGATATCTCAGTGCATGCATATGGTAAAAGGCAAGTTCAATAGTTACATCAGACCTGCAGATTCAACTACTCCAGTTTCTCCAAGTAGAAAAAAATGGATTAATTTACCCTATTGAGAATTAACTTTTGTGTCTTTCTTGATGAAGTTAGTTCAACTCAACTTTCTGAGAAAATCTTCAGTGGCATTGTATTTATATACACACCAGGTCACTAAGAGAGCTGAGCACATTCAAAAAAAAAAAAGAAAAAAGAAAAAATCCATCTGGCATATTACATATTCTAATATTTTGAGATTTATTATATACTACTATTAATATTTTATAATAATTTCTTCCCTTAATATAATGTTTCTCATGCATGAACCTGAAAGTACCTTGCAGAAATAGATTATTAGTCTTATTTTACATCTAGGGGAATTCTGCCAGATTGAGCTCATGAGAGATTAACAAGGGCCATTAACACTTTGAAATTACACAGAAATTGATATAAACCAAGCTTCAAATATTTTTTTTAACAGTAAGATTCTAATCTCCTGCTCTAAATCTGACTTCAATAAAATTGTGAAGGTCTTTACTGCTTCTGATTCATAAAACTGCAAATAAGACTAAAACTTCCTGGCATAATATACTAGAATCTTTTGATTCACTGTTTCCTTTTCAAAAGCACTTTAGGGACTAGTTCGCCAAAAAAGAACATTTCACAACTGTTATTAAATCATCATTACTATCATGACCACCTAAATGATAATGTAATAGTTTAAAAAAAAAAATCACATATTGCACAAAGAAGTCAGTTTATCATCACAGCCATTTATTTTGAAGAATGTAAATACTAACAGGTTGGGAGAACTGAGCACGTACTAGAGCTCCCAGGAAGACACTGTAACCACTTCTGTGGAAAGCTAGTGCTCAGTGTACAGACTAGACCACTAGAGACAATACCATATTACTCCTTGTCATGTCCCTGTTGGCCTTCTCAGGATTACGAAGAGATACAAGGTTGAAAATGTGGTTATGAATCTAAGTAATAACAAACCAAATTCTGATTTTCCAGGCATACCTTTTTGACATACCATTCGGGAATCAAAATCAAGGAAGTAGTTTCTTACATGGGTATCCATATTCACTTATTTACATAGACAGTACTTACATTTTACACTGTGATAATCATTTTGTTGTTTTCCATTACACAGTAATGTGCCCACAACAACTTTACCATCAACACTAAAACGTCATCAGTAGATCCTCAAGAGGTCTTCAGGTTCATTTATTCTTCCAAAAGCTCAGTGAGCCATCGTTTTTAGGTTCAGAACATATTCTATCTTTTTAGTGATACTTTATTTACATGGAATTTACTAAGCAAATTGCAGCTTGTGTGGAAGCTAGCAAGAACAATTTTTATCCTTAATTTCAATATGGTCTCAAACCTTTGTATTTATACAGTGTTACAGAAATTTTTTCTTACAAAGAATAAACCATAAAAATAGTAATATCAGCAACTTGGCATTATTCAAGGTTGTTTTTATACCATTCTACAGGATCATTAGTCTTTGAAATATATATGTATAGATAGCTGTATCTTGTCTTAATACTGTACACTACCTGTAATCTTCAAATTGTTATTTCAAACAATAAAGCGTAGAATAATGTCTCCACAATTTTCTCAGTGAATTCTACCAGTTATGTAACCGAATATCTTTTAAATGCACTCTCCTAACTCTTAATCAGCCTTCCTGAAGATCCTAGACATTATTAAATATGCATCAGTAGCCATATTGTGAAGTATTTACAAGATGTCCTGAAGCATACAGCATAATTTTACTCTGTGTGATGGCATGAGAATTTGAAAAAAGTTGGGTCCTCCAAGAATTTAAGCCTAGAAGAGTAACACAGCAAGTGGTTTCCAATAACCGCACTCAGCGCTTCATTTCTCTAGCTGAAGCATGTGTGGAGGTGATTTGGATTTTTGAATTTTTCTATGCTACACACCAAAAATATTTTCTAGTGGAAATATTGAATATTTATTTTATTGGAATGTATAACAAATATAAACAAAATGGAAAACAGGAGGAAGGACTTCACCAAATGACAACAGGAACAGCATTTACCATGCATTTACACATATTATGCTTTAGAGCATTCTGTGGTAGAAAACGAATCTTTAATGGCATTTTCTTAGCCTATGTAGTACTTTATTTAAATAATCTATTGCTGGAGTAGCAATTAAGTTGCATCAGTCACACTAACACACCAGTAACCAATAAAGATGGCAAGGGCACCACTGCATGCAAGGGAGAAAATGGTATGATAGAGGACATTAAGAGAGCCTTTTACCTGTCCTTTCTCTATTAGAGCTTTTTCCAGGTCCTCAATTTTTGCCTGACACCTGAGAAGATCAGCTTGCAGTTGTTCACGAGTCTGGGGAAAAAAATGAAGTATCAAAAAGTGTGTGTACATGCATGCACATCCAGGTAGACAAGTAGATTTAATTATACACAGAATCAAAGTAAAGATACTTTCTACCCATTCATGGGCTGTTCAGTCAGCTTTTAATGCTTTTCATTACAGTAACAGCTTTTGCACTTATGTTACAAAATACTTAAATCCATCAGTTTAACTGTCTATTTCCTTCCTAGCCTAAAAAGATATTTTCCTCACATATCAGTGATAAAGCTCTTCCCTTGGAGAGGGTGGGGTAAGAAGTTAGGAACTGAAAGACCTCCAACAAGGTATGTGTAAGCTTTAGTAATTCAAGGCAGTTGGGAAAAAATGGGGCAATAGAGAAAGAGAATTGCAATAAGCACTGAAAAAGGCCTATAAGTAAATAAAATATTATGACCCAAAATAATTTATATATCCCATAAACCATATGCCAGTCTTTTTCCCTCACCCCACATAATTATTACAGTGACTATTAGACTACCATAGGTATTAGACCCTGAGTCCAGTGATGCCCAAAAGGAGACTGGATCATACAAGATACTAAACAAAAAGGATACAACCAAAAGATATCTCTGGAGACCTTCAGTCACTGAGGTTCCTTGAGCTACAACAAGCATTTTTCCCACCCTACTTCAGTCACTCTTTCACCCAAGCAGTTCCAAAATTCATACAGGGATTTCCTTCTGCATCTTTGGGTCTTCGTTGTTTACCTTAAGCTTCTTTTATAAGAATAGGAAATGTTCATCCCACCAGAACATTGGGCCCTACAAAATTAACCATGCAAAAAGCTATCTTGTGACTAACTCAAAAATGGATTTGCATGGATGTGACAAAAGAGACCAAAATGACATTAAAAAGAAGGAGCAACTATTCCAAAGTGTACTAAAGGGACAGTTTGCAAATGCCTGCAAAATAAAATTTTAAAAAGCTATTACAAAAATATTCATACCAGGGTCTCCTTTCCCATGAAGGCCAAGGAAATATATAATGGTCTCTCATAACTGTCAAATACATGAGTGCTGCTGAAATCTTTATTTAATACTGGCTGTAATCATTTCCCCCGCCCCAATTCTAGCTTCAGAAGTGATTTCCAAAGTCCTTATTGCTTTCCTTGGCTAAGTGTCCTACTTAAAAAGAGAGTATCAAATGTGACTAGGCTTTTGTTAGATGCCAAGAACTCTAACAAATAAAACCATAAAGCAATAATTTTACTATTATAAGAACTGTATTTCACAGAGGGAGAAAAAGAAAACTAAGGTTGGTTGAGAGCCGTTTCAAAAGAACCTTGAAAAAAACCTCCAAAACAAGACATGACACATTCTTAAAGTAAACCCTGAGTCTTCTAAATACTGGCACTGGGGATAATAGACGAACATTTTTAGCTGCAGATAACTCCAGATAGTGTCAAGCACTCTACATTCTTCTGTAACTTTTATATGGAAAACTTTGCTTATTAACACACAAATTCTGTTCCCACAAACATACTGGTTCTATTCATGAGACTATTCAGTAAGTGGATTTTAAAATTCTTTCCAGAGAAAATGACAGGGATGAAACAGTGCACATGTATGCCTAATAACTATCAGCAATCTAGCAATATAGAATTTTGTAAATATATTATTAATTGTTCTAAACAGTGGAACCATTAAGCGAATAGCAGTCCTAACTTTGGGATAAATTGAGTCCATCCCCACCAGTAATTTTTAAACCACATTAAAATAATCTTTGTCTCTCTGCATTATTATCAACGTGTTGCAGTAGCACAACACAATGAAGGCCACATGTAGTAAGGATATATAATAATTTGCAATATGTAACATGTTTTTCCATTTTTGGGGTTTGGGAGGGGGAGTGAGGGAAGTTAATGTTTAAACACTTTTAGAATGACAATCTCACTGAGGTTGGAAGGGATCACCTGTCCAACTCCTGTGCTCAAGGCAGGGGGGCACCTAGAGCAGGTTGCTCAAGACCTCATTTATTTCAAAGAGAGTAAACAATCACACATGCTGACCTAACAGGAATAACAGTTAGCTACGTACTTTTTAGTGGAAGAATACTCTCCAACTGAGATTTTAAAAAACAAATTAGAATTTCATATATTCAACAAAACACTTGAAGAAAATCTTCTTTGAGTCAGATTTTTAATACCCTCATATGATAAAAGTACCTAACTACTTATAACAACCATTCTCCATTTCATTTTAAATCAGTCATGTTGCTATCCAAATTGCAGGTTCAGTTGGGATGTCATTCTCAATAACACTGTCTCACTACCAAAATCTGTAATATATTAAGCAAGCTAGAATGAAGTATAATGATACCTTTCTTCTGATTGCACCAGATGAATCTAAATCGTCACATTACTCATAGTAATATACTCTAATCCTCAAAACTACTCTGTTTGGCATTTCATTGACCTGCAAAGATATCTCCTGCTATTCCAATTTTTTTAAGCTTTTTCAACTATTTCAGAGTTAAATGAAATTTCAGTTAAAAGGTTACCCTTGCTTCTCTCTCTGCATCCAGGGTTCCACCAACTTGTTCTTGAAGCAATGCATATGCTCTTTGCAAAGCTTGATACTCTCTCGTTAGCTGGCAGAACCTTAGTTCAGCTTCTTCTTTAGGTGTGCTCTTAATGAAGAGGGGGGAAAATAAAGTGGGATTGTACATATATGATAATGGATTTGTTTACATACAGACTCACAAACACAACAAGCAACACACCTCATACTGAGTCTCAAAGTTTAATAACCGTTTAAAAAACTAAAACAAGTGGAAATGTAAAGAAGGACAATTTGAGAATGATGCAGAAATATGTAACAGTACCTACCTTACAATTTCAGAACAGTGTAAGTTACTATATAAGGCAGTAATGTATAGAAATGGGGAGAAACTGACTCAGGAAAGCTAAGAGGGAAAAGCTCTAGGCACCACTCTCTCCAGCAATTCCAAAGCCAGAGGGCCTTCAGAAGGGGCTCGTTCTATCAGTCATGCAATCCATCACTCCCTCCTTACTCTTTTTCTCTACAATGCCAAGGTAAAGCATTTTACCAGCACAAGCACACTGATACAGAAGTTATGTTTCAAATACCATAAGATTTTTTTATTAAACTTTTTTTTAAAAAAACCCATGAAATATTTTTGATGTTATAATTTCCTTTGAGCTTTCAGCAACTGACATCAAAACTTTCATGGTCTGTCCTATAATGCTAAGGGCAAGAAATGTCCTTCAGTTAATTAATTTTTGCTCCAGGAACCTAAGCTCCAAGGAAAAGAGATTATAATATTATTAGATATTAAACCTAGAAAAATAGAAAGCTTCTTGTGACTGAGAAGTATTAGGCACAAGTTGGTGAACAGAAAAGAAAGATGAAAAAGAGCATCTAATTCATGCTTTGTCCTCAGCCCTGCCACGTTTTAAAGTAGGCCAACTGCACTGTATACCACTGAGCTGAGACAAAACGTGTCAGTGGTTATTTACTACCTATGGTAATTTCAGACTTATTGAATAGCAAAAGCCTCTTTCAGTATTGTTAAGTACAGGGAGAAAATCCTGGTGGTATCAAAACAGTCAAATAAAGTATAAGGTTGAAAGGCAAACTATTCTCTAGTAACTATTGACTTTTGGCAAAGCAATGTGCCTATTCATTTTCTTTTAACTAATAGGAAAAGTTTTAAGAAAAACAATTTTTATATCTTAGCCCAATATCTGCCAAATCTGTCAGGAAAAATATTATCTTATTAATTCTATTGCAATGACTGTGTGTGTTACGGGACTTGAAACAAAACAAAGCAGTTCTCTGCCAAATCTTTCTAGTTCCTGTGACAGAAGAGCTGAAAAGTAAAATAATTTATAATACATGTCAATTTTTATAGAACTTAGGAACATATCAGCTACTACTTACATCTTCCAAATCTTCTTCTGGTGTTGCTGGTGTCCTGTCTGTTCTATCTGTGTTATATGAAGTTACAGATGATGTTTCTGAATCAACAGATTCTTCATCAAATCCAAAAAATGTTTCCACAACATGCCTCTGAAAAGTTAGGTTTTTTTAGTTACTAGAAAAACAGTTGGAAAATCCCAGTGACCCAGTAAGCAGTAGTCAAGGTCATCTCCGACCATTATTTCAGCATTTAGGAAGAAAAAAGGTTCCATTGTAAACCCTTATTCTCTGATTAAATGAGCTACTTTTTCAATACCATTTCTATAAGAACCTTAAAGAACTGAACTGCACATAGCACTGTGTAACTGTCAATAGAATAACTCTTTAGCAAATGTATAAAAACTAATTGCCAAAATGAGATCTTACAAAATTCACAGCAGAGGAATGCAATATGTATTCAGAAGAAACTAACCCAATACAATATAAGATGTGGCACCAAAAAGTAAAAAAATATTACAAAGAACATTGTGGAACAAATTTTGTCCTTCATACTAACTTTAAAAAAGAAAAAAAGATTAAATTATAATACAGATTTTGCAAAATCCTACTTAAAAGTATTAATTGCTGCTTTCCATTTATTTTTTCAATAGCATCATTCTGATTTTTTTTCAAAAATTTGCTTCAATATTATAGAATCATAGAATATTTGGTTTGGAAGGGACCTTAAAGGCCCTCTAGTTCCAATCCCCCTGTCATGGGCAGGGACACCTTCCACTAGACCAGGTTGCTCAAAGCCTCATCCAGCCTGGCCTTGAACACTTCCAGGGATGGGGCATCCACAGCTTCTCTGGGCAACCTGTTCCAGTGCCTCACCACCCTCTCCATGAAGAATTTTTTCCTGATATCTAACCTAAACCTCCCCACTTTCAATTTAAACCCATTACCCCTTACCCTGTCACTACAGGCCCTTGCAAAAAGTCCCCCCCAGCTTCCTTGTCGGCTCCTTCAGGTACTGGAAGGCTGCAATAAGGTGTCCCCAGAGCCTCCTCTTCTCCAGGCTGAACAAGCCCAGTTCTCGCAGCCTTTCATCATAGGAGAGGTGCTCCAGCCCTCTGAACATCTTTGTGGCCCTCTTCTGGGCTCACTCCATAACTTTGGTTAGTTATGACTAACCAAAAAAAAAAAGAAACATGCTTAGGAAAAAACAGCATTTCAATTCAGATTAAAATACTCTACGCAATGAAATCAGTTAAATGAATGTTTACAGAAAACTAGAGAAAATCAGAATCCAATAGAAGTGTATGAGAAATTAGAAGCCCATGAATAGTATAATATTCATTCTGAAAAATGTGATAGTTTATGTAAAACATAACTGCAATAATTTTCACTATTTTAAGAATCTCCTTTCCATCAGTTTCCTAACATACCCAGAAAGCAGCAAATTTCTACAGAAAATTACACTTTTCAAAAAAAAATTTGCTTAAACATTTAACTAGAAAAACAGTTTTTCAAGTATTTTTCATTCCAAAATAAGAATAATGAAAGTAACTGTTATTAATCAGTAGAAAATTACACTAGTGTTCTAATAATCCAGCACAAATCAGAGAATCAAGAAAATTAAGAAAAAAATAAAGGGTGTTGCTAGAAAAATAGAGTCAGGTTATGAAGCATTCTAGCTAGTCAGGGAGGCTAGCGGAGTGGGGTGGATTGAAGAAGACCAAAAAAATAATAAAAAAAAATCTGTGCATCCGTCTCTGGTTTTTACAACTGCTTGATCACATATCCTGATGTCATGATTTGTTTGGGTTTTTTAGGTTTTGGTTGGGTGGGGTTTTTTTTGTTCTAAGTTTTTTAATATATAAACCAGAGGTTGCATGTGAGAAGATAATAGCCCTGTTCATTAAAAAGAAGCCTACAAGAGGAAAAAATTACCAGTTGTTATTAATTTTGAACATCAGATATCTCAAATCTCAGCAACGTCGAACGGGTTAAGTGAGTGGAATTGTGAGTTATCAATTCAAGAGACTGAAAGGTTTTATTTTACCTATAATGTTCTATCTCATAATGAGTTCCAAATATTTACCTTTCCCTGCAGTCTCTACACTTACATAACTTCATACATTCTTCCAGTATGTCTACAAAGCAGTCTTCACTTTCTCGCAAAGTCCCATCATGTCTAATTTATTTTCTTGGCTCAGCACAGCTCTCATCAACAGTCAACAGCAGCCAAAACAGCCTATGTTGATTTAAGTGGTACCATAAAAATCAAGCTCATAGTTTCTGAACAATCTTTAGAAACAACCTTCCTTTTGCAAGCTACTAAGCCAGGACTTCAGTTGGAGTACTAAAACCCTATAAAGGCACATTACTCTTCTCTCAGTTGTTTAGGAAGCACTGTGATCCTTTCACCAGGCAGCGGTATGTCTAAGGTGTTAAACACTTCCCTGGGAAAATTAATCCTTTCCTCCACCATCCACATGCTAGATCGGTTTGTCCTACTTAACTTTTGCCAATACTTTTATATCCTGCTCTTCTTGCCGTACCAGCTTGTCCATGGATGGGGCTCAGCACAACCAGCCTGTGCTTTGGGGGAAGCTAGCCACGGAGAAGGAACTTGGTGAGCTGAAGAACAGCTAACCGTGTTCACGCCTCCAGCTTCAAGGATACTTGGGTCTCAGAAACGACAGATGCACTTGAGCAAAGCTCAACCAAAACACAATAAAATATTCACCTGAGGACTGACAAAATTTGGGGAAATCCTAAGCACAAGTA